AACACCATCGACCGATCCTCTTACACAAATGCTACTAGCGGGCCCACTTATGGCTCTTTATTTGGGTGGGCCCTCCATGGTCAAGCTCCTTGGACGATGATCTTGATTTGACTTTCCGGTTGCGTAACGGTTAAGACCCATTGTTTCGTTGCGGGTTCGAAAATATGAAGAGTTAGGTTGCAAATTAGTTGGTATAAGAATAAGTTTTAATAGTTTTGGTTCACAAGTCCATATTGTGCTTTCAAAGATTTCTTTTGTTGTTGTATACCTCCACTTGAAGAAGATATATTATATACTCGTGTCTTCAACTTCTCTTTCAATACATATCCATGTCTTCAACTACCAAGTATATATATTTTACGGCTAACGTACTAACGATAAGATTAGTCAATATAAGATTATGTGATGTTATCACTTTGCAACTGTATAATTGGACTAGGGAAGGTTCGATACACAATCTCCCCCCATTACGCAAAATAAGAGTTTGTAGTCCTGCAAGGGATATCCTATCGGTTGAGCAAGTGAATTGACCCAAGTTTGAATTCACTTGCCAACAGTCGCTAGGTCGAACTTGTCAAACATGGTTAGTCTAGTGTGGTTTACGTCTCTCATATAATTTGCAAGCTATTATACAAGACTGTAGGTTCACCCAGTGCATTCAGCATACACATAACGCAACCACAATATTTAGTTGCGTTTCGCGTGCGAACAAAATATTGTGTGAATCTTCGTGTTTTCTGCGATTTTGTTATCATTAATCAAACGGTATGATGTTCAAGGCTCCATTTGGAATGAATAAACTTGGGAGAAAAAATCCTAAATTCATAATAATAAATCCATTGAAAATCACCCTTACTAAATCAAGGGGTATGATGTTTAACTCTAGCACTCAAAAATCAACCTTACTAATCGGTTATAACAAGATTCTCCATTTCAGGCACAAGATCGCAACCTAGTTCACTTCCCAACTTTCTCAACGAACTCCTCAAACCAGAACACGCTTCACCGAAATCCTCCGTACAACCCTTCAAATTTCGCAGCTCCGCTTCTACTTCACTAATCAAGCTCGAAATCTTTTCAATAGCAACCTTAATCGCAGAAATCTCTTGCGGTGGATAAAGGCACGCACCGAGTTCATCAACCTGCACTCCGATTCTTTGGCTTACCTTCAAAATCTTCTCCAAAGAATCCACCGAAATATCGTCTGAATTTTCCCTCTGAAGCAACAGAGTTATGCATCGGATTAGATCCTTATGAACGACCAATGTTCTAGAAACAATGTCTGTAGTTAGCTCCACGATTTTCATTTCTTCGGGCGATAAATCGCTGCCCAAATCTCCGTCACATAAATCATCGTCTTCGTCACAGGGTTTATCTTCCGGTTTGGTGGAGAAGTTTTCGGAAGGTTCTTCTTCTTCTTCTTCATTTGATGCTGGCTTGAGTTCGTTCATCTCACGAAGAACATCCTTCATCGAAACTGCGACTTGTGAGATTGCTTTGCCGATAGCTATTACGTTTGTGGAGGGAGTTTTTTTCAGGGCTGAACATGCTTCCCACACTGCACCCGCAAGTTGCGGAATTGAGAGTTTATGTGTTTTGTTCGATGGCGATCCTGTAAATTCATTTACGAGAAACAAAATTATATAACTATCAAAAAGAATAGAGGACTTAATAGACGGATCGAAATTTAAATCCTACTTCAAATAGGGGAGTGGCAAGATTTGGGAGTGGCAAGATTTTTTAATCTTACCAACTCTCATAACGAGGGGTGGTAATATAAATTGTACTTCTTAATTTAAAAAAATGATCGAATTTTTTTTTCGCATTTAAGAAATCGGCTTTCTTGATTGCCTCTTCTGTTTTAGCAAGCAAAATGACATCACTATTCACCAATGTTGTTAGAACCGGACCGAACCAGCCGGTCGGACCGGTTCGACCGTGATCCGGCAATAAAGCGGTCCGGTCTGACATCTAAAACCGGAAAAATAAAAAAATCGGGGTCAAATGACCAAAATCCGGTTCGACCGGGTAAAACCCGAGAACCGACGAGTCAGTCAAGGAATCCGGTTTTCGGTCAAAACGTCTCGAATCACCGCTGAGTTGGTTATTTGTAGCTAGATTTGAGGTAACCTTCACAAACTTAGTAGTGGGTGGCCGGATCTAGTCATGAGTGGTCGAAGGATTGTCGGATATGATCATGGGTAATCGAATAGGGGTGGCCGATTGCCGGATTTGAAGAATAAAAAATGGAATTATAAACAATGGAATTATAAACAATAAATTATATAGTAAAAAGTGAGGTCAAGTAAAGGTGAAAATAATAAGTGAGAGATTAAAAATATAAAGAAAATAATATTTATAAAACATTAAAGTTAATAAAATAATGGCATATTAAAAAAAATCAAAAACACGGTTGAACAGGTTCAATCCAATAAATCCATGACCCAAATGGTCGTCTGAAAACATTGCTATTCACATTAGTTAGATAGTAACCGAAAGAAGCTTTATCCGAAAATTCAAAAACGCGTATCTAGTCTGAT